ACGTTCTGGACTTGGCAAATGTCTTTTCCATCTATGTACGACATGATTGTTTATTTGCTTTTGTCATTGTGCAGCGTCCTTGAGCTTGGGAAAGGCACTGTATAAATTCAATGAAAAATGTAATTAAACTTTTGAACACATTAGAATGATTTTTGAAGGATCATGTGACACTGACATGTGAATAATTATGCTGAATATTCAGCTTTGCATCATAGGAATAAATGACCATTTTAAATTATATTCAAATAGAAAACAGTTATTTAAAATAGTAATATTACTATTTTTACTGTATTTTTCATCAAAATAAATGCAGCCTTGGTGAGCATAAGAAAAAGTCTAACCGGCCCCAAAATTTTGAACAATATTGTGCCTAGAAATAGAAGTAACTGTTATATTTAAATAAATGTTCTGGGTACCTAATGGCATGCTGGTGATAACCACATAATAACTTCAATTTGTAATACAAAAGTTGTTACATATAGTATGAACACACTTAAAAAAAACTGTAAGTCTGTGGGGCAGGATATTACATGGGGCCTAAAAGCAGAAAAGCATTGCTTGTATTTTTGTGAAAGCACTTTAATTAATTAATTTGTACAAAATTGTGTGTTATTTGAGCTTTAAAGTAAAGATCATCCTGTTAGAGGTGGAACTATTGTTCTAGGTGGATGAACTTCTGGTTAAGAGTAATTTTAGCGCCATTTTGAAGTCTCTTACAATGCTAAGTTTTGCCTCATAGACTTCCACCAAATTACTGTGCATTGCATTTTTGCTTGTTTTTAACAAAATGAAATATAAGTCCAAATCATTTTGTTTTGTATTCAACATGCCAAAGGCTTAAACTGTTTTGAACTCAGAATGTTCCTAAAAATATGCACAAAAAATAAAAAATAAATAAAATTGTATTTAAAAAATAGTCATTTAAAAGCAGCGTTGGCGTTTTACTAAGTGTCTAGACTGGCTGTTTTTAAATGACAGCACATGTGAAGGCCTCTCGGCAGGATTTTCTGACATTAGACCGAGTTAATGATGTGTGAACTGTCAGTGATTGTGCCCTGTAGTCCAGCGGTGCTGCTCTCTCACCATCCTTTAACAGTAGTAGGTCATTTTAATCACAAGATGTGGCGCTCGACTAACAGCCTCACACTTCTCACCCCACACAGGAATACGCTTAGACAGCTTTATACAGATTCACAGTCTGCTGGCGCGCTCCAACACCCAGCACAGCACTGAACAGTTGTGTGTTTTTGACTTAAACACACACCATACTCTAAAAATAGAGCTTGACTTCATTTTTCTATAATGTGCATATGCGTTTACAGTCGGCTGGTGGAATAGCGGTGAATTAGTGGTCTTTCTGGAGTAATGTCTTCATGGTTTCTGTTGGGTAATGGTGGGGTGGTGTGTTTTGCTCTGCTGAAGCTAAATGACTCTGATGTCTCCTCTTCATGTTGATGATTACTAGTCATTTTAGCTCACTTCCATTTTCAGCTCTAACTACCTGGGACAAGGCGACACTGTAACCATAAATGGATTTTTTAAATGATAAGATGGTTATTATTTGAAATTATACATATTATGCATTCCATTCTATCGCATCTACCTACACACTTTAAAACAAGAGCTCTGCACAGTCTAAAATCACATATGTATTCTCTCCAGATTTCCAATGAACAGTACTTTCACAAATCAAAATATATAGAGGATATCGGGTCTAGTTGTCACAAGGGCATATAATATCATTATCAGAATAATATAAATATGAGCAGTTTATGTAAAGACATGTTGCATATGGCAATACAACAGTGCTGCTATTGTAAACTAAAACTAATAATTTTTTTATTTAAATAAAGCTAAAATAAAATATAAATATTAGATAAAACTTAAAAGAAAATCTGACAATGAACGAATGTTAGTTGAAGTGCTAAAATGACTAAAGCTAAAACTGGAATAAAAATAAATTAATATAACTGTTCATTACATGTGTTAAAAATGGAATATAGGCTATTAAATATTAATTTATTCTTTTTAAGGCCATTAACCTTGACCACCATAAATTGTAATAAATTAATTTTAGAAAAAAATTACATCACATAAAATCTGAAAATTTAACCCAATCTCACATTTCCCCAATCTTACTGTATGAAAATAGCCTTGTATTCAGTGCAATTTTAGTATTATTTATATATAGTTTTTTAGTGTTTATTAATATTTGCCATTAGCTTTATTTTTATCAAAAGTTTTAGTAATTTTATTATGCTCTTATGTCATTTTTATAACATTTGTAAAAATATTTAATATAAATGTGTGTGTGTGTGTGTGATTCTTGTTTATGCTACATTGTGGGGACATTTGGTTATTATAGGATATTAGGTGGCAGCTCGTCGGGGGAGGCAGTGGAGGCACAGCTTCCCCAAAATTTTGAGGTGAAAATGGGAGGAGTACTATTTAATGTTAATAAAATTCACAATTCATTTCAAATCATGTCTCAGAACGTGTTTTTTGTTTGTAATTTCACAGCTGTAGTACCATAACATGTTACTGAAGTTGGAAAGCACCGCTTTTCTATCGCGAATGTGCCGAATCTGCTGATGTAATTACAACCGCTAAGTGATAAGAGAAGGGGAGGGGGAGGCCGGGGGAGAGCTGAGCTCTCGTGACTCCGTTGGTAAAAAAAATTAGCCAATCAGCATCGAGTGTTCACTTTCAGCGCTGAGGAGTGTTGAGAAAAGAAACCTCGTAGGGGAAGCTAGCCTCCCCTACAATTAGTGTGCCAACTCTATTTTAAAACCCACGAGCCGCCACTTTTAGGACATTAGGATAGTAAAACCTACGGTGGCCGAGAAGTGCAAAGCAAATCACAATTCTAAAAACAAAATAACAAATTACAAATGCAAATGCAAGTCTAAAAAACAAAATAACAATTCAGAAAACATTATAACAAGTCAGAAAACACAATGACAAATCCGAAAACAAAATAGCAAGTCAGAAAACACAACGACAAATCCGAAAACAAATTTACAAGTCAGAAAACACAACGACAAATCAGACAAACCGGAAGAGGTAGGTATAGTTTGAGACAGCGCCATTGGTTTGGGATTACTCACCGCTGACTGGACGAGACATCTGTCAATCAACGTATACAGGAAGAACCAGCCGAAGAACAGCGGAGTCGTGGTAGAAAGTTCGGAGATGGTATTAAAGTAGCTCAGTTTAAATGTATTGTATGAATTGCCCTTACTCTGGAATAAAAAATACGGGGTGTCTATTTACATTTAGTTAAAAGTGGCTGAGAAACATCAGCTCCAGTGGTGTAGTTGGATAAGCGTGTGTTGTAGGCCTTTTGACGCGATCGACCCGGGTTCGATTCCTCCTTTTGCCGAACTTTTTTTTTCTCCCTTTTCAAATCTCGTATCACATCATAAAGGCATTTATTTTCAATAAAAATTAAGGAAATAATCAAAAAGTTGAAAATAAAGTATGGGGTAGGGTTAGGGTAGGTGTAGGGAGGGCTTTATTGTACCAATAAGGTGGCATCCATTTAATAATTAAAATTTAAATTATAATTTACACTCAATACGTTATTATTGCATACTGTTTTATAATGTACTACAATACTGAAGTGCAGATAATTGCCACTATTTGCAACAAGTAGTATACTTGATAGTAGAAATCCTCCTATTTTAACATAGTGTAAATAGGTATTTGCACTTAATGTACATAGCATATTGCTAAAAATACTGCTATTTTCACTTAGTGTAAATAGAATCCATTGCTAATACGAGATTTGAAAAGGGAGGGAAAAACAAAAGTTCGGCAAAAGGAAGGAATCGAAACCGGGTCGATCGCGTCAAAAGGCCTACAACACACGCTTATCCAACTGCACCAATGTAGCTGATGATTTACAGCCACGTTTAGACTTGCATTTGCGTTTGTAATTTGTTATTTTGTTTTCAGAATTGTGATTTGCTCTGCACTTCTCGGCCACTGTAAAAACCTGACATTTTTGACATTGTAGGAACCGGCCTGCGGTCCCCATGAGGGAAAAAACTAAAAACAGTAAATGATGCTTATCTGAAAGTGTAACAATGCAAACAGGTTTTCTGTTTTTTTGTGTGTGTGTTTAACTTCAGATTTAGGTTCAAGTCAGCAGCTGGATCACATTTTGGCAACTTACCCCATATAGTGTAAGAACATGCTCCTTTATCAATTAACTATAATAGTGGAAATTACAGCTTTTTATTATGACCCTCAAAAATAAACTCTACCAAAAAAAAAATTAATTACAGTACAAAATGTGAAAGCAAATAGCCCCAGTCTCCACTCTTTGCAATGAAAGAGGAAGTTTTTATGATGCTGTTGAAAGGTGTGTTTTTGTAGTGCCCGAGCATGAGGGAAACGCAGCTCTGAAGTCTTTCTGCAAACCACAAATGAATCAACGCTGCATTAATCTGTGCTCCCAGCGCTCGGTGTTACAGTCGTTACTCGTGATGAGGTTTTACTCCTTCCTCTTGGAAGGAAGCCAGAGAAAGAAATGTGTCCTTCCTCAAACTGGCAGCAGCAGCTTGACATAAGAGCTGCAATAGGAATTTTACATAATGTGCCAATCAGATTGGAAGAATATGAAGTTTCCTTTTGGGCAAATATGACAGACTCTCTCCTGTCTCTGCTGTATGAGATGGGCAGGACAATGGTGTCACTTCCTTTAATTTTGGAACATTTTGCGGCAGGAACATCAATCACTTGGGACTCAATGACACATAGTGCTGGAATTCTTAGCGTTTGATCTGTCCATAATCCTTCCCAACAGGCAGTGGAAAGGCTCTACGGAGTACATTATTCATGACGTTGCCCTTAAAGCAGGGGAAATGAATAGAGCATGACATGAAGTTTACACTAAAGGTTGAAGTTAATTTGTTTTGTGGCATCCCAGGTGGTTTCTCCATTGCTGTTGTTGATCCAGCTAGTTGAAATTAAAGTTTAAACCGTGGAAACCCAAAGGACAATGCATTCTATACTCGAGGCATGAATATTTACCCCC